TTTTATACCTGTTGATGCATACAAAACCATCACACTTTGGATGAGCACACATTCACACAACAACATGGCTACACAAACACCTAAAAAGAAATAATAAATCAATTTGCTTAATACCTGTTTTCCTAGGTCAACTTTCCCTGATATGAAATGTGAAACAAACACACGAGTTGTGTTTACTAGAATCTCTGGTAAAGTTTCCTACTTTTGATTAGAAAACTTCTTGCCAGTTTGCTTCTCCGTGGGTTGTCCATAGTTTCACGTGTGTGTGTCTCTTAGCTTGTGCTCATGTCTTTCTACTGGTTCCTTGCATAAATTTGTCATGTAATTAGGATGGAAATATGTGTTGGATACTAAATTGCTGGCAAATTCTAAATGAGCACAAATGAGAAAAGTCCAGAAATAGAACTTGGGGATGCATGTACAACGAGAAGAAGATAAAAGGTTCAGATAAATTTAGCGGCAGCCAATTCTCCATGTGTTTTGTATGTCAACCCTCTGATTACACATGTTGTTGTTAAATCCACCCACTTTCTGCCCTCCTTCCCTTCTCGCTTCTCCATGTGCGTTGGTCTCCTCTATAGTCTCTGTTTCCTCCAGCCTTGGTACTAAATGTCAGAGCAAGCTGCTGCTCTTCCCAGACCACGCCGTGGGAGACTGACCAACCACATCGCCGTGGCAACCCTCTGTTCTGACTCAAAGAAAGAGAGGCAAGGGCGGAGAAGAAAGGAACTTTTATGCCTCTGAACCCCCACTAGTTTCCTCATCCCCCCTCATCCTTGTGCATTGTAAAACCAAGCCCTGAACCATGTGGCCAAGCTCCCAGGCTTCACCGTGACCAGGAAGGAGGACGGAAAGAGGACTGCAATCACTAAGTAGGCGTCAGGGGATTCCTAAAGGTCAGTTAAAAAGTGAAAATAAGACATCGCAGTAATATTGGCAGCGAGTCAAGGTGACATTATTTGGTGGATTCAATTTTAAAAAAAGAAATAAAGAAAAAAGGAATCCTGCAAAGACATTTCTCACATGAGGTAAAGAAAGTTTAGAATTTCCAGCAAGTCAAAGAAATGGCCACATTAGATTTTCCCAGAATACTTTGGCGGGGCGCCATTTCATTTGGTGGGTTTTACACCAGCAGGAGGCCCCATGATACTTTTCTTCTCTGGTAATTGCTTTCTTTTCCAAGCTGACTTGTCACCTCCAACAAGAAGTTTAAATTAGGAGATTTGAACGGTCCTGGGGTCTTAGGAGCCCGGCCCAAGACTGACACTCATATACAGAGTTAAGACAATTTATTTTTGTGACAGCACAATTGGTTATGGCACTAAGTGTAGTTGCTGAAATGATTTAGCTGAAGCCCTTAGGGGGAGGTAGGTGATTTTTCTGGGGGGGGGAATAAGAACTAAAAGGTGGAAGTACAGCGGTATGTTGGTGTGGCGGAGGAACCGTCTGGTCGTGGGTAGATGACCATATTTAACAGTAGCCGAAGCCCCAAATTTTTCTCATCCTGCTTTCTGTGTGTACATTTTTGCCCATTTCACAATGAAAGCTTAAGCCCGTCAATTCTCCTCCTGCAATTCAGGCGAACACAATTTTGCCTGCTCCAATATTGTATCAATTCCTTTCTTTCTTATTTTTTAAAACTGGCCTTGACATATAGATGAACCCACCTAGCCCATTTCATTTCACCCACTCCGCCTTCTTTGCACGCTGCTATATCACAATGCTGTAATTAAAGAGAAGAAAGACAACAATTGGTCTCCTTCGCCTTTGCCTTTACAGCTAACCATGTGCTTGTATTACTGTGAGAAGTGAAATGTACAAATAATTCAATGCAGAGCTGCCATACCATGGCTTTGGAAAAAATATCAATATTACTATTGTGTACCTACAACATACAATATAATACATCTACAACAACTTTGTCAAAGGATTTTCAATGTCTTTTTAAATAGCCTTGAATCCCTGTGTGTGTCAAACAACCTCCATCTCTGCTCCTGTAACGCTATTTGTTGCTGCCTGATGCTTCTCAATGTTTAAGGCACTGACCTCCTGGCCTGTCGGATGAATCAGCCGAAATCAAAACATGGGGTCTCACAAGCAAGCGGCCGTAAACTGTGCAGCGGTGAAATCAATACAAACACACCGCACATGTGGCCATTCTGTACCCATCATTTCTGAACACGTGACTGAATGTTGTTCCCGCGTTGAGAGGAAGAAACCTTGGTGTACAATGTTCGACAACGAGACCACCGAGTCAAAGTTTGCGATTACGTCGCAGCACGAAGGCCGAACAGGCATTTAAACCGTTCAGTGATGGTACGTAAATGAAAGGTACCCAGATAGAGTGTGAGACACCTTTACTGAAGGCACTTTGTATTACAGGATGTTTATGTCATCGACATGAGTGACAAACAAGAAAATAATACATGTATTCAATTTATATGTTATCTATGTGCATGTATTAGAATATCCGGGTGGTACACAGGGAATTGAAAATTTTATTTTCAATTTTATTTTTACATCTCCATTAAAAGAAGAAGAAAATAGAGTAGACCAATTGCATGTCAGAAGCCTTTATAGGATTCAAAGATGATTGCATGTACATGCATACAAACCAGAACGCACGCACATATGTAGCATGTTAGAGTTATAAATAACTGGGAGAAACAACAGTCTAATTTAATGACGTCACCAAAATACTAATTAAAAAAAATCTATATATGTTTTTTTGAAAGCCAACAATGCCAAATTATTTGGGGGCTCCAGCCTTCATCTGTAGTTGCTTGCCACCATGTAAAGGTGCACTCGCATGTATAAGGTTGTGTACGGAGAAACGCTGTCTTCCAACAGGAATCGGTAATCACACATATGCATGCTCCCTGTTTGGAATTAATATTCTGTGCACATGAGCATGTTGGGGGCGGGGGGTGGAGTAATAGGCTAGTTGGGAAAGCAGTGGCAGGTGTGCCTGACAGAACTTCCATGCCCTGTTGTGAGGGATCTTGATCACAGAAACTCTTTTGAAAGTGTGTGTGCATGCATGGTTGCATGCATTTTTTTGCGAGCATGTGCGCCGTGTGCGTCCACATGGACTGTGTTTATGCATAACAGTGTTTTCTGCTTGGTTGGCCATGCCGGTGTGCGCCTGTGTTCAGGTTGCGCATGACCCCGGCTCCGCTGGGAGGTTCGTGTCTTTCATGTCCTCTGTTCAGTTCCTCCTTAAATCTGGGTCAGGGGATAAAAGAATAACCCCTGTACGCTATGACTCACACACATTGACACACACCAGGCTCGCTGAAAAATGTGGTAACAAGGTGGCATTGTGGAGGGCACTGAAGCAGACAACTTTTAAAATTGTCGTCATATAGCTGCGGAAACTCTATCCTAAATCTACATCCTGTCACCTCTCTATATTAACAACAGTTATTCACTGCATCGGTTACTCATCCAGTCCTTCCCAGTTGAGCTTCTCCAACTGTCTCACTCAGTTTGTTTCAGTGGATCTCACGGATGACCTTGCACAGACCAGATGAGAATGCTGAATTTGCAAGTCGGCAGCAAGTCGATTAGGATTGCGTTGTGGCTCAGTGTCTCAAGGCATCTCTGTGTCTGTCTTTCCATTTCTCACTCAGCCTTTGCTGTTCCTCCTCTTGAAGACTTCCCTTCTCTCCCTCACTAAGCCCCTTCAACAATGCTGATGCTCTGGACCAGCTTCAACCCTCTAAGGGGGAAGAAGTCATGCTGGGGCATTTGTGCGTGTCAATCTGAGAAAAAGGCTTTCATCGGAATGTGTGTGTATGTGGCAGTCAGGGAAGATATACCTTGACAAAGAACAAAGTGAGCATCCTCAGTCCCCTGCATTTTTTAGCAGAGGATGTCATTGAGGTCTTATTTTTGTCTTGAAACAAAAAAAGGGGGGAAAAATTATACTTGCAGGAAGCAGGGAATTATTCCTCCGTTGGGACACTCCGCCTCTCCCGTACTTTCCACCCTACGGGCCTCAGGCTTGGAGCAGGGTGATGGGTGTGTGGAGGATGTTAAGACCTACTGCCTCCCATAGATAAAAGCTGCAGACCCCCTACTACCAGTGGGACGCAACCATCTGGGACCTTACATCTACGCGGCCCCCCTCGTACACACTGACTATAATTTCCTGCAAGGCGAGGGTGGACCGCAGCAGAATGATGGATAAGTCCCCCTGGCACACTTTTTTGTCCTGAACAACTTTTAAAAACATTGTTCAACCCGGACCCTCCCCTTCACGCCCAAAAGCTTGTGTACTCTTTCTTTACCACCTCCTTGTCTCCATCCGGCACAGCCAGAGCAGCACATTGTCCCTGTACTATTCCCTGTTAATGGAGAGAGGGTGTAACGGCTGGATCATTGCGGGAACAATCGCCAGTGCCTGACAGGGGTCCATAATGACAGAAGGCAGTTCTTTTATCACTCAGCCAGGACTTAACGGACAGCAGAGAATAAAGGTCACCGTACGCCTCATGCATTTGGTTGAAATGCTAGCGCCATCAGTGTGAGCATCCAAAAGTGCATCATTGTGGCTTGTCCAAACATTGTGATCTACAGTAGTTTCATCTCTGTGCTGCTCCTCGGCTTGGTGTCAATTCAACCAGCTGTTCTACAGAAAAAATGAATCAACATGAAATTACCACATTTTTATTACTTTTGTTATAATGGCCCAAACTGTGCAGATATTTAGTGACAAGATAGAGACTCTGTAGTAAACCCAACCTGGAATATTTAAACGAAGAACTGTCTCTTAAGAGACCATTCCCTCTTTCAATGTTGCGTCTCCACAGTATTGCCAAAAACACCAATTTACATTATTCAATTATTAAACAGCTGCATGACCTACTAGAAATTGATAATAATATGGTTCTGGCATAGTAACAGTCAACGTGTGGCAGTTTAATGCAAAATCATGTAACTGTCCAACAAAATGCTGTATGCTCTCGTTCCACATCTTTGGTTCAATTATCATGGTTACATTTAAACAAACCTTCCGGTTGTAGGTAAACTGAGACCTTGAGACCTTCCCCACAATAGTGGTTGCACACTTTACCCATTCGGTTCCTTCCCTCCAGTGACTCAGGTGCTGATCTTCTATCGTTACCAGCAGAAGTGAGAACACAGAGCTGTCCTGGGAAATTACCCTGTCGACGGACAGCACATTGAGACTTCGTTAGCACAAGCACTCGACCCAGTGCCTGTCCAGCCTGATCGAAAAGAGCAGCGCTCCATGACAGGGTAAACAAAGCCAAATCACAGACATTATGAGGAAAATGTGTTTTTGGTCAACTGGATCAATTGCTGTATATAACCGTGGGGTTTTGTGTGTTCATGTATTAGTCTTTGGAAGTGAAAATGTGTATTATTCTCTAATATTACTATTAGTAATATGAATAGGCTATTGTATACGTCATTCTTTGAGCCGTATCAATATACTGCATACCATTTAATATATTCCTGTGCTGGTATTTGTATTAATGATAATATTTGTGCGTGTTCATACTTTATGTGTTTGTGTCTTTCTGTCCTTGCCTCTCTGTGTGCTTCAGGCGGCGGAGAATGTCTGTGTTGAGGAGAAAGAAGAGGCAGAGGAAGTCGGAGACTGCAAGTAAACAACCTGCGGTAGCTACAGCAAGTGTCAGTCTTCCTGTCGCTCCTCCACTGCTTCCGTGCAAATCCTCTTTCACTTTTTTTTCCTACATTTAAACAAACAGCAATGGCCATCGAAGAACTCGTTCAACAAACTTCCGGGCTTTCCATCTCTACCTAAGTTTTTGTGCCTAGATTGATAATTGAATTGACTATCACCATGTAATCAATTAGGGGCGTTAATCCCCGGCTCCAAATCAAAGATTTAATTGGCTTGTGCCACAGAGAGGCTGAGATGGGAAGCAGGCTGGTGCAGGAGGGACTGTTGGATTACTGCGGATGGGCTCTCAAACCTATTTACATTGTGTCTGACTTTAAGTCCTTGATTGCCTTCCTGGTTCAGAAATTGCTGGGGTGTGAGCTGCACACAGTTTGGGTTTGGACCACAGTGACACATCCGGCCTATTTTAGTGAAGAGGGCTGGAATGCTTACAGAGCACACGCAGCGGGTAATCTCTCCTGCTTTGATCCCAATCTTTCAGACGGATGCATGCCGGTTTTCCTTCCATTAAACACCCTTTGTTACTTTTTTTTTTCCAAATGTCCGGAAAAATTCTTTTGCCACCTGCAGTCAGCATTGCTTTGTCTGAGCACACAGAGAGCCACGCATTTCAAGTCCAAGCAACCCTGCACTATTGATCCACCCCACACCTTATTCCATTTTGTCCTCTAAAACATGGCTTTTCAGTCGGTTGACTTCTATTCAAAGCTATCCGGGGAGACCTGTGTCAATGGGGAAGCTTGACTTCATTCCATAGATCTTGAAGCCCCCTGGGGCCCAAGCATAGGCTGCTAGACCATGGCAGGCAGGGGGCTAATAGGCCAAATAGGATTGGATAAAGAAGAAGGGTGTTTAAAAAAAAAAAGAGAGAAAAAAGGGAAGACCGGGACACCGCCATCTGCTTTTGTGGTGACGAGCATCAAAGCCTGAAGGAACCCTGTTGGGTCCCTCTTTCAGATGGCCGTTCTACATATGGGCTTCATATTTCACTGGGACAGACAGTCAGCAAGGCCCATTGGGCCAGAGCCGAGGCCGCTATTCTGTCTCCCTGCATGCTAGATTACTTTTATTTCTCCTGAGAAATGCGGCTAATAAATGACCGGGCTTGACCCAGAGGATTTTGGCATACACCCCCACCTCACTAAACGAAGGTAGGCAAGAAACAGAACCTGTGGGGAAATGTTGGAGAAATGGGTCAGTGTATGGCTGCAACGACGTGCTCCCAGGGTGATTAATTATTAACGTGACTAATACTACATTTGCCTGGCAGCATTGGGGCAGTATTCAGTCTACATCAGTGACACCAAAACAATAATCAGCCCTGCTGTATCTTTTATTTCTATCTACCGCTCTTCGGCGTCGCCGTATCCACGACTTCCCCTCAATTCATCCTCTTTCTGTTATTTTGCCCTCACAGACTTCTGTTTTCCCCTTCTGTCTCTCCCACAGACCTCATTATCTAATTATGCCTTTTAACTCATTTCCCCTCATCTCGGGCTCCCCCTTCCTCTGACTCTTTCAGCGCCTTCTCTTGTTTCCCCTCTGTCAGTAGCACAGCCTCTATCTATAAGTGGGCTCCTTGATGAGAAATGCGAAGGCCAGACATGTATAATATCAGCCCGGATGGGTTCCAGCCGCTCTTGTCTAACCCCACTTCTCCTTTGCCTTTTGCTAGACTTTTCCTGCCTCTCGGTAGCGTACGGCATTATCTCAGACTGGTGGACTCGTTGGCCTCCGACACAACACTGCGCATCTATCTCTTCCTCACTCAAAGCTCCTTTATGGGCTCTCCAAGAGCCATTTTCTCCCATACACTCTCCCCTGATACTGTGCAGAGCCCGAACCCTCCTTATTGTATTTCACACAGCTAGAGATGGCTCAGGTCTGGCTGTTGGTGAGAGGAGGCTGGGCGGGTCTGGAAGGCAGAGCCATTAGTTCAGCAAAAGCCAGACTCTGCGCTATTCCCCCAACATCCCGGGGAGGTGAGTGAGAGCCATACCCCACCTAAACAAAGGGCCATAAGGGGATGGCTTTGTGCCCTCGTGCAGGTATATATGTACACGCACACAAACACAATACTCCCTTCCGTCCAAACCCACACAGATGGCGATCTCTTTGTTATATCTTGTACATACAATGCAGTGCATCGTACCCCTTGAGAGATTTGTTAGCAGTTCCAACGTACAAGCAGCAGGTGTAACAACAATAGCAGGTGGGGTCACAAGCAACAATCGAAAAGGGCCACAATTACGCAGTTGTACAAGAAAAACACGGCAGACGTAGTGAGCATCTGTTGTGCCTGCAGATGTAGCGATACAGATGTGGGGGCAAAAGTTATTCCACAGCAAAACTTGAAAAAAGGGTTACACGTAGTGGAAGTGCATATTTGTGCAGTTATTTCATGCTTAATGAAACTCATTGTCTCATCATCACTTGAAGGTAATTATTGCTTTCTTCTGTATTTCTGATATCTTTGGAATGCAGTCGGACAGCAGTTTCATGTTTCTGATGCGACGTGTCTGTGTGGACCATAAAGAACGGTTCCTCCAGGAAATGATCGGTCTGAATGGGAAAAGTTCGTCGGATAAAGAGAGTCTTTGTGTGTAGTTTGTTGTGCCTCCGGATTGGGAAACATTCTTTGTTGATTATAATGAGAACACTGTGGACACCATATAGGTCAGAGTTTGGGGTCTTGCTAGAAGCGCTGCTTTGTCTTTGTATTCCTCTCAGTTTTCTGTGTGTGTCTCTCTCCAAGCCACGGCGTACGGTGTGTGAGAGCCACAAGATACACACATACGCTGCACAGGATTCACGCTGTGTGGTGAAGGAATTCATGCTGTGAGGCTCAGAGATCATCTGGGCGATGCCCGGGAAGCCTCTGGTCGGAAGCAGCTATCTCAGAACAATCCAACTTCTCATTTCTTTTTCTGCTCTTTACAACTAACATGTGAAAACACTATATAAACCATGAGCTTGCACAATAAAACATCCTAGTAAAAGTATAGAAAAATTACAGTCACCAAATGTCTCTTAATTTTTTGTTGTGTGTTTTTCACAAGAGACGTGACTGTGTCCGGGTATTTGAGCCAGTGACAAAATAATCAATTTTTCCCTCAACAGCTCGTACTGAGCATAAATAAACCCCTCTCATGTTATTTACATGAACATGGTATGTAATATATAACTAAAAACCCCCCTTTGCTTATCCACATATAGAAAGATGGATAGATATTCATCTGGAAATGACCTCCCGTTGCCACACCCATGTTTCTTTATGGTTCCTGAGACTCCCCAGCAGTGGAGTTGGGTTGGCACAGGTGTGGGCAATTACTGTAGTGTGATTCCGTAATGTACTCGCCCGCTCTGAACTCTTTGCTCTCCTGAGCCCCAGACGAGGCCCACTGGGCCGGCAACAGTGCAATTAGTTCAATCGGGCGGCGTTGATTCATCCAGCAGCAGCCCCCAATGAACATTCTCACTACAATAAAACACAGCATTATGAAATAGGCCTAATCCTCACTTGGCACTGAAGTTTTGCATAGCATTAAGTTAATCCACTGAGTCCGCCTCAAATACTCTCAGAGTCCAGCATTGGGATTTTTCTTTCTCTATTATACATTTTACCTTTAGTGCAAAATACCCTGATGCGGCATGCACAATTCTGCTGTTGATAACCAAAATTATCTTGGAAAAAGTATTTATTAATAAATAAATCTATGTTTCATGCCTAGTCTGACTCCCTTTTTGTGGTTATGTGAGTTGAGATGATTTAATTCATATGTCTGTCTCACATATATAGCTTGGGATATGTTAGCTTAGCTTAGGCTAACAGCAGAAAAGAGGATACATAGCTACAGAGTAAGCAAACGTTTCCCTGACCTCTTTTCTAGTGATAACAAATATTTCTTTATTAACACATTTTAAATGATATGTTTCTATTCATTTCACGATTTGGAAATGTCCCTACTGAGAGTACTACTTTAAAAACAACAACAAAGGGAGACACACAGAAATGTGAATACTTATGGGCTTTAGACGCATGATGCAATACCCATAAATGGCCACAACATATAAACAGTAAAATGTATATTACATAAAGGCAGTCTGAGATCAGCAAATCACATCAATCATCTGTTAGTCACTGCCCTTGCACGGCCTCAGTCCACACTGAGGCTTTGGGTCACTGAGGCTTCAGGATTTAATCCTCACAGTAATAGATTTGGTAGGCGGCTCTTTGTGGGTGGAGTCAGTGGCAGACTTGCATATTCTGTTGGATGGTGTTTTTTAAGACCGTCTTTGTAATTTCCTCAGTACAAATTTCCAAATGTCCTCATTTATTAAAACAAGGTAGCTGTAATAAATTCACAAAGATATTGTTATCCTACAATATATTGTGCATAAATCCCAATTTGTTGCAGGTATTGAATTGATTGAGAAATAAAAATATAAATCCGTCATTCTACATAATTGTGTTAAAGTCGGATGCAAGGTTGAACTACCTGCTGCTATATCAGCGCACCGCTGCTGAAATCTCTCATTCTCTGCTTGTTTTGCAAAATAGTTATGTTTCCAACGCTGAAAATAGAATCCCCAAATATCCTGTATTAGTCTAGTCAGCGAAACATCAAACTATTTCTTTAATTTTCCTTTCATAGCTTATACTTTTTATTTGTGCGTGCGGGGTCTCCCTGTAATGAGCAACGTACCCACACAACAACATTCAGTTTTATTTCTCATTGATTTCCCGAAAGTTAGAAGAATATAATGTTTGTACTTTTTCCATATGTGCTGGTAATATATTGTAGCTATTTAAAATAATGAAATCAAAATCACAGAGTTTCCCGAGCCCGACTGCAAAGACGTGAGCACATAACATGAGAGCCAAAGAGGCGGCTATGATCCACAGAACACTTTCCCTTTTCACAGTAATTGAGATGCAATCCCTCGCCCATATGGCG